GCCACATCGGTTACTGGACATTAGAGTTGTGAATACCGGTACCAGAATGGTTACCCTTGTTTGGCGGCAGATTTATGCATTTTTAAAACTGAATCAAAATTCGATTCATGATAGAAAATGGATATACTATATTTTCTTACTTGAAAAGAAGATATACAGAAAGGTCCAGTATTACTCGAACTCTGTACTTGTGTGAAAACGGGACTGTAGAATAGAACACTGAGTGCAAATAAGGGATGGAAGTAAGGCATAATGTTGCGTTTCTTGAATCATATTGTTTATTTTGTTTGATGCTTTCAAGCATGAGTAACATATTATTGTCAATGTATCGTTCTATACCTAAAACAGGTTCTATATATGGCTCTATATTTTGTCGAAGGGAAAACTTGGTCCGATATTCATTCTGCATCCTATAACATATTTCCTATATAAGAGTTTCTTTTGTACAACAACAACAACAAAGCCTTTTAGTCCCAAACAAGTTGGGGTAGGCTAGAGTTAAAACCCGTAAGATCTTGAAACCAACTCATAGTTCTGGCACGTGGATAGCTAGCTTCGATGCACCCTGTCCATGGCCAGTTCTTGAAACCGTAAGAGTTTCTTTCATAACGGCATATTTTTTCCTGAATGGCATGAGTATCGCGACACATTAGTTTTGCTGATTGATTTGTATATCTCTTAAACAGCTTGATTGAATGTGGGAATGCTGTAAATTTACTCTATGGATAAATGATGGAATTCTTATAGTAATATTTACCACTGTAATGTGTTGCGATATGATCTAACTGCTGCAACCTTGCAGGTCCTTTTGTCAACACATCTGACGGAGATCTTCGCCGAAAACTACTTCCCACAGGTTAAGAAAACAACTAGTTTGCTGGTGTATAGAAATTTTGTATGTCCTTTTACATTTGAGGTTTCCTGACCCTGGTTATAACGATTGGTAAATGTGAGAAATTTTGCAGTCTGAACATATAAAATGCTGTACCATGAGTGTTCTGAATCCTGATGGACAGACAAGCAATGAAGACATCATATTCCTTTACAGGTAAGTAGATATGAAAGCTTAGCTGTTATGTGTTTTTCTTGTTCCGAATAATTTCCTTTTGGTACTAATTTGCTATGTAACTTGTGATACCCATGGTGAAGACTTGTACCTGGACAGGCACTCTTGAGCTTTGGTAAGCTTATGTATACAGCATTTATACAATGATAGATACGGATCCTTTTGAGTCAGATAACAAGTAACACATCTTTTCTTGCAGGACTTCATTGTGCACAGCTTGCTGGTATGTTCATGGAGTAAAATTCTATTGAGCTGGCAAATTGTGATAGCATGATAAACTAATCTGCTTTCATTTTGATGAAAGGCTAAATTTATTTATTTATTTCACACTGTTAGTTGCCATTGTATTCAGAAATTCATATGCTATGGGAGTACTATTTTACTTGATCTACATCATGACACGTGTGGCTCGAAGAGATCTTGTGAAAAGAAAGAAACCGGACAGCATGACTGCTCATAGAGAAATGATTCTCATGTTTGGCTGCTCGCAGGTGTTCCCAGTGAAGTTATTCAGAGATCTGCTAGTGTTCTGGAGGATATCCATTCCAAGAGACCTGTAAGGCGCATGATCTGCGATAATTTGGCGGCAAAGGACAAGCAATACCAGGTTTATGACTTGCATGCATGTTTGTTCTGTCGTTAGCTAGGCTGTTACATGCAGAGTGGGATAGTTATTGTAAGTGAATATATGATGAGTATTTGTTCAAAATTTCAGGATGCAATGGCAAAATTGTTGGCCTTCGATCCGCGAAAAGGTGATCTGAACCACTTCTTTGAGGACGTATTTCCCCCTGAGGCGTAGATTGGGCTGCGTTGGAGTTACAAGAGTGGCTGAATTTCAGAACCAGCAGAGCGTTGTACATAAGCCGTGAACGAAAATTGGAGTGCTGTTGGTGTTGGCTGCAAATACTTAACTCCACCTATTGCATCGTTACAGTTGTACGTATGTTTTTTTTTTGCTTCCCCAGCATATTCAAATGAGGAATCGATTTTGACCATCCAGTCCTTAGTTTTTCTGAGACGATTCGGCCCGATTTAGTGTTGTCACATATGGGAAGTGCTCGCCTGCACATGGTGGCAGCTGCACTGGACTACCCACGGATTTGCCTACCCCTCAAAAAAAAAAAACCCATGGATTTGCCTACCCCTCAAAAAAAAAACCATGGATTTGCCTGCTTTAAGATTCGAACCCCCTGCTCCAAGATTCGATCCCCTGGCAACCTTCCTTAGTGTATGCTCCCTTTGTCCTAAAATAAGTGTAGTTGATTTAGTACAAAGTTAATACAAAGTTGTACTAGGTAATAACACTCGTGGTTCTTAAACTTGCCGTAGATGTTCACCTTGGTTCTTAAACTTGCCGTAGATGTTCACCTTGGTGTCTGAACTTGAAAAATATACTAAACTGGTTATAACACTTTGCAATATGGTTCAAATACGGTTCAAATCACGTTTAGATATGTATGTATCGTTGACTAGGCATGCCAGCATGGTGTGGGGCTCACCTGCAGTGCCGGAACAGACTGACTTATAGAATATATGTCACAATGACCATCAGGTCCCACCTGTCAGTGTAAAAAAATGGGCAAGTCTGGGATTCGATACAGAAACCTCAGCCCACGCCCCACGCTAACCACCTCGTCAAGACAACATTGCTTCCCATTATGCATCACTAAAAAAATTCTACTGAATGCGACCGTGGAGTTAAATGGGTTGCATCTTCAAATGTTAGTTGTTTTTCCTTCTTTTAGAAATTAGAAAAATATTCATCAAACTATAATCACAATATCAAATAAATGCTCATGTACCCACAAAAAAATTGTTCATGTAGTTTTAAATATTCACGTAATCAAAACAATAATTAAGAAATATTAAAATGATTTCATAATTTTTAAAAGCATTCACATATTTAATGAAGTAATTTTAAAGTGTTAAAACGTTTTATATTTTCAAACTGTTAATCTAACTTTTAAAATCTTCATTTTTCAAATAATATTCACTTGATCCTTTTTAGAATGTTATGTTTTTTCCTTTTACATATCCCTTCCACATGTGAGTTTTCTTTTATTTTTAGAAAATTTGAAAATTATGTAACTTATTCTAATAGTAATATAAATAAAGTTAGAATATTCTTATCTATAAATAATATGCAGACAAAAATAACTTACTTTTAACACATATTAATGTAATTTTTAAAAATATTTACGTATTATTTCAGAAATCCTGTAGTTACAGTAAAATGTTAACTACAAAAGTGTATTTAAAGTTTTAAAAGTGTTCATTTGAGTATCTATAATCCGAGGGGCACACTAGGCTATAAATATTTTTTACCACACATATTTAAATTTATTTTGATTGCAAATATATCTTTTGACAAACACATAAACTTTATTAAAACATGTGATCACTTTTTAAAACCATAAATACATTTCCTAAACGCTGAACACTTTATATGCTAATTGAATATTTTTGCAATTTCTTAAATAAAAACAACTTACATGTGGAAAATGGGCCAAAAAAAGCAAAAAATAATAATTTTACAAGACTTCAGCTCGCCAAGCTTTGAAACCATTGTCATATTTCGTTTTCATCTTGTGTCCCAAAATCTGCTCACCAAGAAACAGAAAATTACAAGAGTTTAGCTCGCCAAGCCCTTGTTCATCCTGTTACCATCAAGCTAAGATCACCAGCTCGGGACACCCTATGCTTGCCAAGAAACAGAAATTACAAGAGTTCAGCTCGCCAATCCCTTGTTCATCCTGTCGTAGCTACTTTGATGACTGCTCACAACTTTTTTGCCGACGGTCCCAGCACCTCGCACTACTAGGGAAAGCTTACCAGTAGCGCGGGATAAAAGGAGGCGCTACTGCTCATTAGCAGCAGCGCTTGTATACAAAGGACGCTACTGTTATGTGCATAGCAGTAGTGCGGTAGGAACAAAACGCGCTACCACTATAGATGCCACACGGTTGCCAACAGGCTAGGTATAGTAGTAGCGCCTCTATGGGAACTACGCTACTGCTAACTAACTAGATAGTAGTAGCGCTGGGCCGTGGCCCGCGCTGTTGCTAACCCGACCTTATCCCCCACCTCGGCCCGCACATTTCCTCACTCTCCCTGTCTCACTATCACCGTCACGGCCGTCCTCCTCCTACCATCGCCGACGTCGCCGCCATCCCCCGGCCTCGGTAAGCCTCCTCCTTCTCCTCTTCCTCCTCCCTCCTCCCTCCTCCCTCCTCTAGCTGCCCCTCCCCCCTCCTCCGCCCCACTCCTCCCTCCTCTAGCC